AGCGTGAGAGAGAGAGGGAGCGAGAGCGAGAGCGAGAGAGAGAGAGAGAGCGAGCGAGTGAGCACTGGCCACACCCATTACACTCAAACTCTATGCTAATGCACAAAACTGTGCAGGGGAAGCGCAGAAGGTGCAGGGCAGTCGGCAAACAATGACAACAAAAGTCTAATCAGAATGCAGGCAACAAACACAAAACACGACAGCCGGAATACGTTCCACACTCACTCAGCCGCTCTAACGGTGCAGGGTTGATGCGCTCGAGTCTCGAGCTACGAGTTTCGAGTTGCGAGTTTGAGTGCAAAGCCGTAAGCAAATGTGTGCCAGAGAGTGAGTGTAAAAGGCAACAAAGAAAACTAGGCAAAAGGAGAAAAAAAAAAAACAAAAAATAGAGAACTACAACGACAACTACAACTACAACTGCTGCTGCAAATCATAAAGCATGCACTCACACACACACACACACGCACGCACACACAGTGCTGTCTACGGCGGCAGCGAACGTAACTGCAGCGGCAGCAGCATTTGTACCGTTTGTCGCTGGCTGCGTTGCCTTCGTTTCAGTTGCATTCGGCAAGCGAACGAAGTCGGTTCGGCACATATCCATACGCAGGCAATCGCAGCCGCCAATTGTTGTTGTTCTTATTATTGTTATTGTTATTAAATATTTAAATTGAAAAACTAGCTGGCAACGCTGTGCGCGCGCGCGTTCTGCTGTGACTTGCAAATTACGTAGAGCACATTTGACAGCTCTCACATTTACATAAAAAAACAAAAAAAAAAAACGCACCAGTGCCAAAAATTCTGTGAAACTTTGTAAATGCACAAAATTATTTATTCATAAAACTGAAGAAAAAAACAAGAAAGAAAAGCGGAAAAACTAAAAATGATGGTGCTACAGCAACAACAGCAGCGCCGCTTATGGGATGCCACCAAAACAACAACAACAACAACAACGAGCGCCGGCGCTGCCGCCGCCGCCGCAGCAGCAACAACAACGCAAGCAGAGGCCGCGGCAGAGGCCAGCAACAAATTGGAATTGGATAATGCGGCCGCCGAGCGAAGCGTGCGTCTCATCAAGCAGCGCAAGGATCTTGAGAACTCATGTAGGCGAAAAACACAAAAAAAAAAAAATTCTTAATTAATTAGCATACGACTTTATTGCGCCGCCAGGGTTGCCACTTAACGCAAGCTTATCGCGGCGTTGCCAGCTGCAGCTTTGAAGCTAGGCTTGACTCTAGACTGAGCTCTGAGACTGAGCTTTGTTTTTTTACGTTTTTTTTGAATACTTTTTGTGTGTTCAAAGGTCTTGTTGTGATTTTCTAGTTAATTAGGTTTACAAAAAGTTTCCTCAAAAGCTTTCGAGCTTAATCTAGTGTCTTTTCAAGCTGTTTTTTACAATTGTTGTCGATTTTTCTTAGAAACCTGATAAATCTATGCCTCTTCAGTGGATTATTCATATAATTTATATATGAAATTAAAAACAATCATCATATTTATATTGAAAATGAATCAATTTTCAACTATTCTGCTTAATTAAACATTTTGTATGCAACAATTTTTAAAGCTTTCACCTTAAAAACTTGATTTCAGTTTTTGTTGAAACATATTTCAGTAATTTTTAATACTTGAAGGTTTTCATTTCTGTAGATTGATTAAACGGATATAACTTTTGGGTATTTGCAAGTTAGCTTGAAAAAGGTAAAACAAATTTAAGCAAACTAGAATAAAGCTTTCAGGCACAGTAAAAGCTTTATAAATTTTTCAGAAACAGCTTCATGTTTTAACATAATGGAGACTATAAAAATAATAATTTTTTCTTAATATTGGATATTTACTGAATTAAAAAACTCTTAAAGCACATTAATGAGCAGGCAAAGCTCTTTTGTGTAGCTGGACTTGAGTTTTATAAAGCGCTTTTTACTTCTTTTGGGATGTAAAATAAAGCTATAATATATTCATATAAATTTATATAGAATTTAGAGCTGAAATTAAGAAGTGCTCAGAGTTTTTAATATATTCTTAAAGCTTCACTTATTCTCATGAAAACTCCGAGAAAAGGCTTTACTAAATAAAAACTTAGTTTAGGCTTTTATATATATTAACTAGGGAACAGTTTATGCCTCAGTTTATGCCAAGTCTCAATCTTTTTCTACCTCCACCTCGTTCTACCTCCACCTGTGGCTTTCACTTTCGGCAAAACTGTGAAGGAAAAACTCAACCTTGCAACCAAATGCCGCCAGAGCTGATTACAAAAGACGCACGCCCGCACCTATTGAATTGTGAGGCATAGAATTTCCATTTTCATTTCCATATCGAGATCTTCAATTTCATGGCATTTGGTATAGTTTTGATTCGGCATCATGAGCGGCATCTCCTGCTGTTGCTGCTGCAGATGCCGCACCCCACTGTGCGTGTGATCATTATTTTGTTGGCATTTGCATCCCGCACAGAGTCCTGTGGCCGTTGTCCTTTTTTACCTGTGTCCAAAACTGCGTCTCAGGTATTTGCATTCACACACACCAACACACACCAACACACACAAAAGACAAGGCACATCAGGCATATGTCCTTTAAAAAATGAGCATAGAAAAAAAAAACAAAGCTGCGTCTTGTTTTTTCACTGTGAGGCGTGCAATTTTTCCTTAATTTTCCTGGTCATAAAAAGAGAAGAAGAAAAAAAACACCACAAAAGCCAAATTTTGTGTAATTACATTTAAGCCTTAGGTGCAAGGAAATGCCTTTGCCTTTTTAATTGCCTGAAGGCAAAATAACACCCACACACACACACACACACGCACGCAAAATTTGGTGTAACATGCAGATTAGCGCCAAGTCTTTAATGTCAGAACCCGGAAAAAAGGACTTCGGACACTGCGAGAATTCGAACCGGCAACCTCCCACCATCCATTACGAGTGTCCAATGGGGTAATCTGTATATTTATAATGTCAGGCTGAAGCATTATGCACAAGGATTCCAAGGCATTTCGTCTGCCCATATATTGTCGTAAAAATATGTCGCCTTTTTTTTACCCAATCCGAGTGTGTGCGCGTGTGTGTGTGTATCCTGCCCGCTTAGTCAAGTATGGGACACATTGTTTACGCCCCGGGGGAGCTATAAATTTAATATCTACTTTGCAAAACAAAAAACCCAACAAAAAACTCGGCCACAGGGTGGACACGACGAGGCCAAAGACACATATGTATGTATTCAAAGTAAATTATGTGTGTGCGTGTGTGTGTGTGTGTGTGTGTGTGTGTGTAACATGATTTTGCATAGATAGCCAAAGAAATAGTTCCATGTGCTGGTTAGATATGATAATGCTCCAATAAGCTATTCTAAATAAAGATAAGCAACGAGAAACTAAGAGGATTAAGGTAGAAGGCCCTAGTCGGGAGTGCACGACTAGGAGATACCCTAAAACCTAAGACCTATCTTTAAAGATGAGCAAAGGGTGGAGATATGCGAAATGTGAAAGTAAGAAGACGCTTGTCGACTAGCAGATACCCTAGAAACTAGTGAGAAGTTATCCTTAGAAGCATTTTAGCTGCCTTTCATGCACACACTATACGATATGTCTTAAGTAACTTGGCTGTTTATAGTACGATCTTGATGAAACTCGCAGAACTGAAATACTTCATACAAATGTGTATATATACCAAATACGCTAAGGCCTATCTGTAAAGATGAGGAAAGGGCAGACATATGCCAAATGTGAAATACTTTAAATCTGAAAATCATATACAAGAAACTCTTATAGTTCTCGAGATATGCTCACAAAAGCCTGTTTCCAAATCGATATTTAGCGATACTCTGCAAAGATCCAAGATCGTGACGCAGAGCATAAAATAGATGCTCTCTAGAATCTAATTCCAATCCTAGTTTATATTATTTAAATATCCAAAAAGTATCGATATATTTCAATGCCAGAAAACGAATAACATATGCAATTTCCTGGGCAAACTTTACGATTTAAAGACTTCCAAGTATTCAAGTTGAATTTGACTTCATGCTGATTTCATCGCTGAGCTGTCGACGTGGCGTTTGGCAGGCATAAAGCGAGCGTGAGGAGCTCTTAAAAAAAGTTTACAGCGCTCGCAAAACTCGAAGGACACCACTCAAACGACATCGCTAGACAAGGAAATTTTTGCATGTTACACTGAAACGAAGCACCGTAAATACTAATGGACATTTTACGAGCCAAGTGGACAGAGGGCAGCCAAGCAGACCAAATGGACAAACCATGACCAAAATGTGTGTGCCCGCGAGTGTGTGTGCGAGTGTGTGTGTGTGTCTGTGTCAGAGACACTCGCCAAAAACAGACAACACCCAGACGAAGACCCCAACTGCAACCACCAAACGGAACTGCGCTGTGCCATAAATTGAAAGCCGTGCCTGCAAACAGGATGCAGAAAGCATGCAGCACGTTTTGGGGGAGAGAATTCAGTAATCGATAAACATTGTCAAGTGCAATCGATAGAAAACTCAGCGCTCCATCGATAAGCATTACAAGGTGCTATCAATAGATAAGACTCAATGAGATGTCGATAACAAGTCGATAGGACTTAGAATATGCTATCGATAGACAGCTCAAGAACTTATCGATAGACAATTCAAGTCATGATTTATTGATCAACGCGTAGCTCTATGCTTTAACGATAGACAACTAATTGAGCTATCGATGGGTATTTGTGTTTTACCTTATAATGTGCCTTCGATAGGCAATGCTAACCGATAGGCAACTCTTTGCTCTATCGATAGGCAGCTTAAGACCCTATCGATAGCTAAAAGTAGTAAAACCTATCGCTAGATCTGTACTGGCATATTTTCTTGGCATTCTATTTTTTGCTGATTTTTATTTAATTACTTTGAAAATAACAAAATTAGTTGTAATTTCTTTTGGAATTCTCACATTTCGTGGAATTTCTCTGGCAAACAGCCTGCTCGAACCGCAAGAATTTATCATTTACATTTGGTTTTTTTGTCTTTCATTTCTTTGCAGTTATGCGACACATGTCAAACTCACCGACACCGCCATCTCCCCTGCGATCTCTATCAGGTATGCTCGTAATCCTTTGCCAACATTCAGCAGACATGCACCAAAATGAAAACAGAAAATATGTTTAGGGTTTCGATTTGCCTTTTTGGTCGCGTGGAACGTGGCTACTTTGTGGCAAAATTGATTACTCACACGGGCTACGTAGCCAATTTATTGATGTCTCTCTGTACGGTTGGGTCGGGCCTGCAACGGGGAGGGAGTTATGGGCAAATTTTATAGTTTTCCGAAAAGGATATGCAACAACAACGACAAAGACAACCCCACAGCCGGCAGTTGCAGTTCGAGGCGAAGGATGAGCCTGAGGCTCAGCCCGAGCTCAGAGCGTGCCAGTCGAGTGTCTGTCTCTGGGTTAGGCGCTCGAGAATCGGGACTCGGGACTCGGGCCTAGGTAGACGCTGCTGCTAAACGGGCCATGCACGTGACTAAAGTGCGACTCTAAAACCCTTAAATGATATAGGGTCCTAGGCAGGCAGCAGAGTAAAGAACTTGGTGAATTGAAGAAAGAATTGCCCTGTTGAAAAAATTGGACTAAAAGCTGTTATCAGGAAGTTTTAAATAGAAATTCAATTCATTTTCTACTAAATTCTTTAAAAATTTAAATTGAAATCTGCGCTGTACAAAGTTACAGTGTTGAAAAATGCCAAAAGCTGTTGTCAGGACGTTTTAAAGAAGAAAATCAATCAATTTTCACCATAAATATTCGAAAAATGCAATTGAAATGCGCACTAAACAACTTTCAGTGTTGTATAATGTTTATTTTTCGAGTGTTGGGCGAAAAACGAATTTCAGTGTTGGAAAAGTCTCATATGTTAAACTTTCCGAATAAAAACTTTAAAAAATTCACAAACACGCTTGAAAAATCTTATACAAATGGGCCCAAGAGAATTTCAGTGTTGAAAAATGCAAAATGCATGCACTTAAAAGAATTTTAGTGCTGTAAATTTTATATTTTAAACAAAAATGTTGCGAATTTTCGTTTTTGAAGCGGAACCCTTCCCCCTTCCACACACACACACACACACACACAGATGCTGCGTAATGTCGCACACCCACATCTCAAAACAAAGCGCAGTTGCAACCCTGACGAAATTTGCAGGAGTTCAGAAACTATTCAAGTATGCTAACAACCCCCACAGCATATACAAAAGGTTATACACACAATGCACACACACACACTTTTGACCCCGTCGAACCCCCGCCTGAGTTGTTGCTTCCCCGCACCCTCGGGGCGAAACCCTAACAAACAAAATGAAAATAACAATTTGTCAAAATGTAAATTTCGTATCGTCTTTTGGCAACAACTGCGCATTTAAATTTGATTGTGCCAGCAATTATGTAAGCGAGGCGACCCTAACTGATGACCTTTAACTACTCGCCCCCCTTCGCTCACCCTCTTCCCTACCCTACCTCCCTCTCGGAGCATAACAAAGCGCGGCTAATCTATGCAAAAACATGCATAGCGCTTGTTTCGCCCAACCCTCGATGAGTACTAAATTTGAATGGCAACCCTCATTTAAATAAACACTGAACAGGGTTGCCACACACACACACACATATCAGCGACTGGCAATTAAACTTGCATTCTCATTGGTTTACGCAAATTAACGGGTCGCGCGTTTATTTAAATTATGTCACAACAGCAAACGACAACAAACAACAAAAAGTGAACCCTTCATAAAAAAAAAAGGGTTGCTGCTTATTTGAGTTCGGGTTGAAGTGAGGTGAGGCAAGGTTAGGGTAGCCAATCAACTGTTGCTGCCTGCGCCTGTTTAACATATCATTTGAATAGCAACGAGGTGTAAAGCGTGCGGCAAATTGTTTTGGCGTAACCCTAACCACGCAGGCAGGGTTACGCGGCTTTTTAAGTGCCACTTGTTGACTGACTCTTCAAATTCAAATTGCATGCCTCTGCCGCCGGGGTTGGGCCCGAAAGGATTAGGTTGCGTGAAGCTAATTGTTGGCCTTTGATAGGGTAATTTGTGCGGCAAGCCTCTCGACAATATGATATTATAATCAGCGGTTCCTGTTTGCTTTTCTTTTTTTGCTCTTTTTTTATTGATTGGGTGCGCGCTGCTTTAGCGGGGCGTTACGAGGGCGTTTCGCTTGGTACTTTTATTTGTGGTTTCATGGGACTTTCAATTTTAAAAGAGTTGAAGTGGTTGCTAGAGGCGAATATGATGAAGAAGTTTTGGGAATATGTAAAAGATATGTATTGTCGAGAAAGCGTGGAAAATGTAATACAATTGCAATATGTACTTGATTCAAGGCGTATATAGATTTAATTCTAGACTTTTTCACACATTTTTATTTGAATCTAAGAGATATATCTCCCAAATTTAGTATGCAGTTTCTTGTAGAACTTATGCTAATAAAAATTATATCATTTTTTGGATAACTACAAAAAAAGTCTCCCAAAATGTTAAGCACTCATTTTTAGAGGTAGAGCCTTGGGCTTTTTCATATCATATATTTAGCCCTGAAAACTTCATAAAGAACGGGACGTAAGTTAATCGAGAAGGGTATCGAGGAAAAAAGAATCACAGCCGAAGAGAAGCTTAAATACTCGTCAGCTCGCTGTATTCCAGGGTTTCTTCTAGTTAAAGAACGGGCTGTTAACAACAAAGTTCAACAAGAACGCACTGTCCAGATATAGGGTATAGGCAAAGACAATATAAGCACTGATTGTCTGGCTTTTGGAGAGAAGTGGGAAAAGCCAGATGAAAAGCCAGGCTACAAATTATCTTTATTAGTGTTTACATTGTCTTTGGTATAGGGTATTAAGAAAGGTTAAAAATGTTTAAGTTGGCTACCCTGTAATATGCAGCGGGCATAATTGGATAGTTTAAGCACATGCACAGCATACAAATAAATGTATGTGCACATTTGCGTTCGGTTTTATCATTTCCAATAAATCGCCACGCACTTTGCGCCGTTGCATTCCCGAAAAGAAGGAAAAGGGAAAAAAGGCGACACTCCACGAGCGAGCAACCCCTAAATGCAGCACCAAAACGAGCGAAGAGAGAGACAAGCGAGAGTGCAGCAACAACAAGGGGCAGCAACACTTCATTTGTCAGTGGAAACATTCACACATTTGGCCATTGTGTGCGACCAGAGGCAGAGACAGGGGCCGGGGCAGGACATCTGCTGAGGCAAAGACAAAACACAGCATCACCTGGTTACCGGTTCGATCGACGAGTTGGAGGTTCAAACTCTGAACTTGGTGCCTGGTCGCTGCAGGGCCCCCTGCCCGCTGCCAGAGCCACAATAGTTTATAGCCTGCAGCTTCTTGACTTTCCGCGTGTGCAACAATGCAACGCGGGCAGCTCCCTTTATTCTCTTTTAGCATAGAAACCCTTTTTCGCCAATCACAAATTGCATTCCGGGTTTTACCCTGTTCAAAAATCATATAAACATAAAATGAAAATCCTCGGCTTGTGCGCAATTGTAACGAATTGTTGAAAAATGCCAACAACAGGGGGTTGCTTTCAGCGCCAGGGGCGGAGGGCAGAGTTTAAACCCTTATGTAGTTGTGTGACTTTTTTTCCCTTTAAAGCTGACTGCGTTCTCTGCTAATTATATTAGCCGATTCTTTGCGCTAACAACACAAGTCATAAAAACAGCTGCCCACATACATAGTCGGGCGCATTTAAAAAGTTCAAAACTCCCCCCTCCCCACTTCCCCTAAACAAGCACCCGCATCGAAAATCAAAGTTCTAATCCCTTTACCAGAGCTGACTAGCTGTAAAGCCGCTTTAAACAAACCGAACCCCATAAACGAAATCGTTTTAAACAGGTTGAAATTATGGCTAAAAAGGGGTTGACGTTATTCTCAAAAAAATCCTACATATTTTTTTTAACTTTACAAATTCCTCTAAGACTGAAGCGCATTTCAAAAATGGGAAGCTTCGTTTTGGAATTTTCGCATATTATCGAAATTTCCAACATTTGTCAGATTTTTTGAACAGTTTCAAACACAACTCGATTCGCTTATAAACTCAAAGAAAGAGTATTTTATTATTATGCAGAAATTTAACTTAATTTAATAAAATACTCGTCAAAAATAGTGAAAAATTCTATAATAAAAATTGCATTTTTTTAATTTGAAAAATACGTTTCTCAATTGAAAATGCATTTCCTCATCAAATATTAAAGCCTAAATGAATTTTCATATTGTTTGCCACACACAAAGAATATTTGTTAAGCTCGCGCTTTGATGATCTTTGACTGATTTTCGTGTGGATTATCTTACAGGAAGTTCTTGAATATGCTTTGATATTCTAAATTCTAAAGGCATTAGCTGCTCAATAAATGCTCATGACACATTATGAAATTTGAGCTGGGCACATCTCCAAAAAAAAAAAAAACAAAAAAGAGAAAAAACGAAATATTGAAAGAAAAACGAAAACAAAAAGTTGTGAAAAGCTTTCTGTGGCCTCTGTCCTGTGTGCTGCGTTCTGTGCCGGCGATTTTTCAATTATTATGCATGATTGAATTTTGATCTAGTCTATGGGCAAGGGAGGGGGCAGTCGGGCAGCTGGGCGTGCCACAAAGCAAACCCTTCCGCTTGAGCGTCTATCGGCAATGCAGCAGCTAACCGCAGGACAACAACGCGGGCAAGGACTAAGCAGAAGGCGCATTCAATTGGAAGATTGAATAAAATTTGCCTTAAAATAGCAGAAATATTGAAAACTTGCCCCAAGGGGGGGGGGGCGGGCCTCTGACCAGTCGTGAAGGGAAGGGGGTGGCAGGGGGCAGGGGGCAGGGGGCTGGTGAATTGGGGAATTGAATTATGCGACGCGTGTTGTCCTGCTATGTCCTGGCTACTTGCAACTTCATTGAGTTGGAAAATTGAAAAAATATATATATTTAACAACAGAATATACATAAAATTTATATAAAAGCTTGCGAGCATTACCCGGCATTGCCCGGTCAAAATGTGTTATCACCTCAGTTCAAGCTGAAGCCGAGCTGGAATTTGTCAGTCGATCAACCAATCAGTCATTCAATCAGTCAGTGAGTTAGACAGTCAATCAATCAATAAATTTGTCATTCATCCGTTCAATCAATCACACAGTCCATCAGTCAGTTAGCCAGTCAGTCAGTCAATCGACTGGTGAAGTTGTTAATCAATCATTCAACAGATTAGGCAATCAGACAGTCAATCAATCAGCTAATAACTATGTCAGTTAATCTATCAAGCAATCAATAAACTAGTCAATCAATCAGTCATTCAATAAGTCAGTGAAGCAGCCCGTAAAGCAATCAGTAAGTGATTCAATCAGTAAGTCAGTCAGTCAAACAGTTAGTCAATCAGTGAACAATCAATAATCAATCAGTCAGCCTTTCCATCTATCAATCAGTCGTTAAAGCTCTGCATCAATCGTTAATAAACCAAAGAGACAGTCCATTAATCAATCAATCAAACAATCTGTGGTCAATCAGTCAACCATGCAATATGATTAAAAACTATTCATATTCATTAAAAACTATTCCCTCTCTTTTTTACAGATTGCGGCAAGAGCTACGAGGAGGAGGAGGAGGAGGAGGACGACGAGCTGGAGGCGGATGTGGCGCAAAATTTGAGCAGCAAACGCAGCGCACGCCAATTGGACGCCGACATGGAGAACGAGGTGCTCAACTTGGCGCGCAGCGTTTCGCCAGCAGCCAAGCGCTTGGCCCTGGAGCACACGGCCGAGCCTGCGCTCGCGGCACAGTCTGCCGCCGCAGCCACGCCCCCCGTCGGACTGAGTCTGCCGCCAACAGCGCCGCTGGGCTTCGGGCCGGAGGATATGCAGCAGGCGCTGCAGCTGCAGCTGCACAGCTACATCGAAATGGTGCGCCAACTGGCGCCCGACGCATTTCCCAATCCCAATCTGGCGACACAGTTTCTGCTGCAGAACTCGCTGCAAGCGCTGGCCCAGTTCCAGGCGCTGCAGCAGCTCAAGCAGCAGCGGGATCAGCAGCTGCCCACGGCCAGCGAGCAGCTGCCCACGCGTCACTATTCCACGCCGCTGAGCAAGTCGCCGCTGCGCAGTCCCTCGCTGAGTCCTGTCGCGCGTTCCATGGAGCCACAGCAGGCGCAGCGCACGCCGCCCAATTCCCTAGCGGCGGCAGGTCTGGGCCTGAGCAGCGCCGTCCTCACGCCCAATACGCCCAGCATGCAACAGCAGCAGCAGCAGACGATGACGTCAACGACGAATGCCTCGAGCACGCCCAAGCCGTTGGCTAGCGGCGCCACGGTGGCCGCTGTGATGGCCACCAAGCTGGAGCAGTCGCCGGAGGAGACCACCGATCTGGAGGAGCTGGAGCAGTTCGCCAAGACGTTCAAACAGCGTCGCATCAAGCTCGGCTTCACCCAGGGCGATGTTGGCCTGGCCATGGGCAAGCTCTATGGCAACGATTTCTCCCAGACGACCATCTCGCGCTTCGAGGCTCTCAATCTCAGCTTCAAGAACATGTGCAAGCTGAAGCCGCTGCTGCAAAAGTGGCTGGAGGACGCCGACTCGAGTGTGGCCAAGTCGGCGGGCGGCGTCTTCAATATCAATACGATGACCACCAATCTGTCCAGCACGCCGGAGAGCATATTGGGCAGGCGGCGCAAGAAGCGCACCTCCATCGAGACGACCATACGCGGCGCTCTCGAGCAGGCGTTCGTGCTGAACTGCAAGCCCACCTCGGAGGAGATCAATCAGCTGTCGGAGCGCCTGCACATGGACAAGGAGGTGGTGCGCGTCTGGTTCTGCAATCGCCGGCAGAAGGAGAAGCGCATTAATCCCTCGCTCGATCTGGACAGTCCCACCGGCACCCCATTGAGCAGCCATGCCTTTGGCTATCCGCCGCAGGCTCTCAACATGTCCAATGGCGGCCATGTGCTGCTCGAGGCGGGCGGATCCCATTGCGGCAGCTCCATCAGCTCCGGCGAATGATTTGCTGCCAGCTGCCAGCTCTGGTCAGCTTGTATATAGAAAGAGAGAGGGAGGGAGCGAGAGAGCGAAAGAGAGAGAGAGAACTCCAAATCTTCCACAAGCATTCCAAAACTGCATATCGTATTAACCCAATCCCTTAGCCCCGCCCCTGGCCCTGCCCCTGCCCCTAGGTGATAGTCAAGTCGTATCAGCAGCATTCCATAACGAATTTACGAGTACAGAACATATATATATATATATATATATTATATTGGATCTATGTAGAGAGTTCCTCCTAGTTCCTAGCTATACGAATTTCTACCACATTCTATATCCCCCAACTGTTTGTTGTCTCTGTATATGTGTATATGTACGTGTTCAGCATGCCGATCTATCAAGTATTTATACTACACACACACACACACACACACACACACACACATACATATACATTAATTTAAATATATTTAATATTAAACCTAGACTATGTAACATACTATCTATATAATACTATATATA